TTAGGCACACCCTAGTTCAACCAAAGGTATGGGGGCTTGACCCATGAGGCAGAGTCTCCATGTTTGATCACTGGTTGGATGGACATGCATTGGTAAAGCCGTCCCAATTCTTCCATATAACAGGTATGGACAGGTTAAGCACGGCAGCCCAGGAGTACATGCTTCACCTAGAGCATGTGATTCAATCAACGATGACAAAGTAGCACCATTGAACCACCCTACCACCCAACCAACCAATTGCTTCCAACATTTATCTCACGGAAATGTCATTGTTCTGTTCACACACTTTTCATGTTTATATATTATGGATTACGGAGCCTATTAGTTGAACTGTTCAATATGTGACAAATAGCTCATGATATGCTCCAGCAGCATCCCTGATATGCTCCCACATGTCCATGATCACACAAAGGCACCTGAATGGAGAAGCTACTAAAAAAGCCTGCATGTTCAAAGGAAATCAGCACGCGGAAGATCTGGCTTTGTTTCATCACGAGTCAACATCGAACACCGCCCAACTTCTTTGTCACACTCTCTGCAGCACACAAACTGTGTGCCCGCAGCGTTCTGCCTCCGTTCACTTGTTGCAAGCCGTAAGGCTGGTAGCCCGCAAAGAAGAAGCCTTGCCTCAACAAAAAAACGACTGCACAGCATGCCGGACCTTTTCAAACAAACAAGTTTTAAGCCACGGAACTTCGATCTGGTCTAAGCCCAATGATTCGCTTGGCATCTCTAATAGGTCGGCTTCAAATTGCAGGTACCGTCAGTTGCAAACGCAACTGCCCAAGAAAGGACTTCTTTCAAGCATCACCCTAAGCCTAGCCTTCGTTGTAATTTGCATATATAGTAAGGCCATTGTTCTTCAGAAAAACCTGTTAAATCCATGGGTGACCGCAAGCCGATGCGGCAGAACACCTCTTCTCGAGACCAGTGAAGAGCGAGACCGTCATTCGCCGTACGCCGTACCGTTCAACGACGTCCATGTCCGGCGCATGTCCTGCGCGGAGCCTGCATCGGCGGAAGGGGGGTATGGATACCATACGACCTTTGAAGCTTCTAGCAGCACCTGACTGAATGGAAGGTCTTCGATGTTTAGTGGCTGAAATGGAGACCTTAGTTCTCTTGTTGTGGCGTGGGCATGCAGGTGACGGAGGGCCCCACCTTTAGGTCGACCATCCTGTCCGGAATGGAGAACTCGGTCGCTGGACGAAGGGGAAAAAGTGAGACACGCCCGAAAACTCACATGGACCGGACCCTGAAAATGGATCTTTGGAAGACGATTTTCCTCTACAAACCAGTGGCACTGGGTATATAATACGCCCCGGCTCAATGAGTACAGCTAGCTGGCTAGCTTTGTTCGATTTCCAATCCTTCAGGCACAGGCCGGTTTCTGATGGTGTGGTTTCTCGTGGGTGAGGCAAACTCACAGGTATCACACAAACTGTTCAACCGAAAACCTGGATATCACCTTTGATTATCCTAATTCAGGATGTTGTTCCCTACCCTCCACCTTTTTTGGCCCTGCCCACCAGGTCTGATCCGAAGAAACATCTGGGTCAAATCCTATAGCACCCGGAGTCTCAGTTAGTACCTAGGACAATTGGTACAAGCACACCTGTCTTTACAGGATCATGTCCCATTTTCCGGACCCGCGCCACGTTCCGAACCCCAAACATCCGCTTCAACTCTCGACCCACCCGAATCGCCGAAAAAATCGCCACGAACCGCACCGCGAAGAGCCGCACCGCGAACAGCCCAAGGGACTTCCAGGCTTCGGGAAGCTCTGGAGGCCCCACGACCGACATCAAGGACTCCGCGTCCATGGGCGACAAGAACTCCCCGATGCCTTGAGCGGGTGCACGGGATGCTGCGGAGTGGGGTGCGGAGTGCCGCGGATGCCGAGCGCAGGATGCGCGGCATGCCGTGCGAGCTGGGTCTGGTCGCGGGCAGAAAAAGGAAGGGCCAGGCCACTCCAGAATTGCTGAAGATTGGCCATGAAGTGGTGAACCAGGACCTTCCAAGAAATGTCTATAAACAGCCTCTTAGAGGTCAAGGGGTGCCCCAAAACCACCTGTTGGAAGGTCCTGTTGGAAGTTGTGAAGTAGCTTGAAGTGGAAGAACCTGTCGAAGAATCTTAAAGATGCGGTCGGTTTCCCTTCGATCACCCAGATTATAGATTACCTATAGATCTTGCTGCTCAGTCTGTTGCATCTTGATGTTCAAACAAGAGGTGGTCATTGTGCCACTGGAGTGCCAAACTGGTTCTTCTTCTGGTGAATTTGGCCCAGGTGTTTCATCTTTTTTGGTTGCAGCGTTTGCCTTTCAGGAGTCAAGAAAACGGTCCTAGTCCTTTGAACCACGTTGATGCTTCACCGCGGGGGGGTCCCGCAAATGAAATGGACATGTCATATGAAATGGACATGCACGTAGAGTGGTCCCCAAATATATCCCAACAGGTGGTTTTTGGGCACCCCGAATCACCTCTAAGAGGCTGTTTATAGACACTTCTTGGAAGGTCCTGGTACAAGTCAGTTTGACCTCATGTTACTTGAGTTGGTCAAACAAGTTCACACGTTCACACGGCTCGGAGGCAAGAAAGACGGCCCGGTTTGGACCTAGACTGGACGAACGTAGGGTATAGACGGTATAGATATAGAAATGGATAGAAATGGTTTCCAATGCTTCCATAATGCGATACTTTTCTGTCTATTTGTGTCAATTTTTTGGTCTATATTGAACATTCTCCTACTTGTCTTGCATTTCTTCCAACAGTTGACCTGCTTTAGGTTCGAACAGTGCTCCGCATCCCCATGCCATCTCTCTGGCCATGCCATATACCAACTCCGATCCTGCAGCTGCAGCGATTCCTTCCAAACACTCAACGGAACATATGTCTCTATTGCAACCTGTACTGGATGTCCTGCGCCGCCTCCGGGCTTTGTTTTCGCGGGGCAATTCTCAATAACGGGTTCTTCCATGTGGGTCGACTAAATCTGGGACGAAGGGTATCCCAGTACCACTATAGCTGGTAACCAGTGGTTCCAAAGACTAAAACCACAGACTCTGACGAAACCCTTGTGCCTTATCATCCTTATAGATATATACCAGCGCCCTCCAACAGGTCACCACCTGACACTTTTAAGTGTCCAGAAGCTACCAGAGGAGACCCGTTGGAGGGTGATATGTATTTGTTTATATACGCCCAAAGGCGACCCTGGACCCTCAAACTGCTACCTGTGTTCGGTCCATTTCACCCTGCTTGTGAGGGTCACCCTAGCGAACTGAGGGTCCTGCCACTGAGCCAAACTGGGATCCACTGGCCCGAGGGGCGTGGAGGTGAAGGTCCATCCGTGGTCGTTGGTACATCTCCTCAGAGCTGCCGTCGTCGTTGGTACTCGCACGATGGGAGATGAAACATGTTGACAGATTGCTTGGAAAAGCCTAAGAGAACTGAAGTGAATTGAAGATGTCACATACTGCTTCCCATGGGTGGAAACACCCCAAACCCTCCCCTAACCCACTCCACATGGAGTCTCCACATGGGTTTCCAGGCTGTTTGGACAGTTGTTTAAGGAAACCGATGTGTGCTTTTGGATCTCCCACATGCTACTGGAGATTCTTCTGGCGCCTGCCTTGGCTGCAAATGGGTGCCCAAGGTCTGACTGTTAGCTTCCCTCAAGCCGGATCTCGTCTCAAAGCCTGGAACACCAAACATGTACCATCTACAGTACGGAGGAAGCTCCAAAGTTTAAAGACCACAGAATAGAATACAGCCCACCCCTCTCCACTCCTTTTCAGGAACATGTTACAAGATGTTCTCCAGAAGTCCATGTTCCTCGATCTGCCTTCGTTTTCACATCCCATTTTGGGCTCCAACTCACCCCCCTCTGCATCCGTCCCCCCTCTCCATCCGTCCCTGTGACCAAGCTTCTGCTAGGACCGAAGAACCGTCGCGGCTCCTCGTCCGTGGCACCGGCCGCCATGGCACCGGCCGCGGGCGCGGACGTCGCAGCGGGGAGCACCGCTCCGTTCGAGCCGGGTTCGCTTCGGAGTGGATCTGTTTTTTGGAGCGAAGCTTGGAATCTGAACACATCTCAACACCTCTGCTCTTTCATGTTCTTTCTAATGATTTATCCTTGGGGGGGTTGACGGTTGATACTCTTAAGAAAGAACAGAAATGAAGACTACCACGAAGCTATGGTCTTGGGAGGTGTTTTTTGATCATAGGTACAGTAGATGAGGATAAATTACGGATAAATTGAGGACGTAATTCAGGGGAAGACTGAGACTTGTTTAAGCAGTACCAACTGCACGGGTTGCCCACATGCTCCAAGTAACACTCGGCTGCTTTTCTCCTATGTGTTCAAGCAAGTCTGACTCGACTTGCGTTGCATGTTCTTCTCTTGACATCAACCACACAGGGGGGAGTCTAAACACGTGTTTCGGCCCTCTGGTGGGAAAGAAGTTCCCCCTCCGCGATGATCGACGGACCATGAACCGCTTGGAAGACACCGTTTCGCCACCAAGGGCAGCGTGCGTTCTGGGGTTGATGATTCATGACGGTTGATGTCAGCGAACACAGTCAATCATCTGAATCTTCACCACTATGATAGCAAACAGTCATACTCCGGCTCTGTCCTTGCACCCAGTAATGGGTGGGAAGGCGCCACCCAAACTCGGATAACAAAAGTCCCATGCCCCCATTCATTTCTGTGTGTGTGTGTCGTCTTGCTCTCCCACAGCCAGAGTTCATCAAAATGGGCTGGAGGCAATGTTCCAGGCACGCATGCGCGCCCAAAAGAATGCTCGCCCAAGGGTAGATAGCTGCCAGCCTCTATCATAGCTGCTTGCTTTTGAACATCGCGTGAACAAGCCTTGACCAACTCGTATGACCAATGAGGTCCAACTGGCCATCCCTGGGATCCAGTGAGAGCCAACCTCCCGTGACCCTGGCGCCCCCAACGAGTCGTCGTGGGCGTAGAGTTCTTGGAGCCCCTGACGTGATGCACTGCATGGCCCAGGAGCTTCAAATGATCGCCCACCTCGGCCAGGCCACTCTTCAGTGTGTGTGGAATTGGTGTCTATAGTCATCTATAGTCTATAATTAGTGAACCGATACGGCAATCTTGGGTGTGTTTACACTCAGACGATCCGTCTCTAGAAAAGATGTCATATTGGGAAGACCATGGAAGACCCCTCCTAGAAGAGTTGCTGAACCCTAGCAGAGTCGAGTCACTGATCAAGATCATCACTAGATCAGTCGGGTCCCTGATCACTCCGTTTTCAATGTGTTTAGAATGTCCGGCTGTGGTGTGCTGTCTCGCCACTGGTGTCTCGCCGCCCTAATGGCCCTTGGCTGGGGGGGAAACCCCTTTCACTGGCACCGGCCCAAAGATGAAGGTCCGTTTGGTATTGCATAATCTGTTCCACACATGGTTTGTTTTTTTTTCACCGGTTTTGTGGACGTGGTGAACAGTCACAGCATCATCCCTTTTTCAGACTCTGCAAGTGATGGCACCCCTTTTCCAAGACCTCAAAAGGGCTGCAGAAGTACGTGTACACAAAGTATGTAAATGCCTGCACCCCCCTTGGAACTTTACATGGGGGTATAGTTCGACAGGCTTTTCCTTCAGGCTGGCCCATCTGTTGGGCAGCTCCTGCACAAACGCAGAACTTCAAAGTTCCTCGACCGCTGCCCTAGTCGTGGGCATGTGCAGTCGATGTGGAAAACGTCACGGCCTTCCAACCAGAAGACCTTGCTCCATTTCTGTGCCATCCACTCGACCTGGGTGCCCACATCTTTCGTCTCCGTGGTCTTCCCAAGCCGGATGCTCAAGCCCCCATTGATCTTGCCGAACAGCCAGAGGAATCCGGCCAACATGCAGGCCTGGATCAGCAGGACCCAGCCGAAGGCGATGGCCAAATCCATGAAGATCCACTGGCTGAGGGTGCCATTCTCGGTATTGGGCTCTTCTGCTTCCCTCGCTCCATCGGCCTGCTGCAGCATCGTGATCAGCGCTGCAATCATCATCTTCTTGCTGAACTGGCCAGCTGCGCTCACCACATTCACGTGGTTCTTCTCCTTCTCGCTGACCTCCTCATAGGTGCCAATCTTCAACATGGTCCTCAACTTGTGGAATCTCTCGATCGTCAGGGCCTTCGTGCCAAAGTCAGCTGTGTTGTCACTGCTCGGCACGGCGTGCAGCGTGAACAGCTTTCGCTGCAAAGCTTCTTGAACCCATAGGCTCTTCACTTCCAAATGGCGGATGCGCCCCACACCTTGCCGTTGGAAGACTCCTCTTGCTGCGCTTGAGTCCAGGAAGACTTCCATCCTGATGGGATGCCCTGCAAACATGAAGATCTCCTTCAGGAACAATCCCTCGGCACATGCTGCCACTCCTCCATTGAACTCGGCTTCACCTGAGGACAGGCACAGCATCTGTAGGCTGCGGGCGTAGCTGTAGAGCAAGCAGCCACCAACACTGAACATGGCGCAGGCACATGACTTTCTTGTCTTCTTGCAATTCGCCCAGTCCGTGTCCGAATGGACAACAAGGGTCTCGATGTCCCCCCTGCGCTCCAGCCAGATGCCATAGTCCTTCGTGCCCTGCAGGTACCTTGCCAGGCGATGCAGCTTTGCCATGCTTCCATCATTGGGGTCTTTCATGTCCTTCGTGAGCTCGCGGATGGCAAACTGGATGTCAGTCCGGTCGTAGCTCAAGTAGAGTGCAATGCCAACTCCAGCTCTGAACAGCTTCGTGCAGCTCTCGTTCAGCTTCTCACCCTCCTTCACCTCACCGTGAACATAGGGAGTCGGTGCTGGGTTGCAGTTCTCAAGCTTCAACATCTTCAGCAGGTCGGTGATGTACTTGGACCTTGGGCTGATGAAGATTCCATTGCTATAGATCTCCCTTGTGCGTTTCAGGTGCGTGAACTTCTCTCCCTCGATCAACGGGTGGATCTGGCTCTTCATGCGAATCCTCTTGTGGAGCTCTTTCTCCAGCTCTTCCAGGGATCTCTGCGGTCCAGTGGCAAAGAAGTCGTCCATGTGAACTTCCATGAGGATGCCCTTGCTGGAATTGTGGAACAGCCAGGGTGCAGCTGGGTTACGGCTGAACCCCAAGTCCTTGAGGTGCCCTGCTGCCCATTCGACGAAACATTGTCCAGCAATCCTCCTCCCATACCATTCTTTCTTCAACTTCCAAACCACCTTCTCAGGCAGGGTCACACCAGCCTCGATCTGCTTCTCGATCCAGTCCTTCGGAGGGAGCATATATGCATCTTCTTTGATGGGAACCTGCCAGAAAGCATTCTCGGCGTCTGCGGTCATGAAGGCGTAGCCCATCTTGATGCCAATGACGTCCACCACTCTTGAAGTCGATGTGCTGGAGGCTACAGCAAACACATCCGTCCTTGGATCACCTCGTTTGAACTCGCGGACACAGTATCGGCATCTCACTGCTCCGTCCGGCTTTCGCACCTCCACCCATGTGGCATCCAGCACCTTCATTCCAGGCTGGTAGGACACAGGCTCATAGGTGTCGTACTTGTCCATCTTCCCATACTCAACCTCTCGGCCTTGTGCTCGTTCCTCTGCCGTCAAAGGCTTGCTCTCCTCATCATCGGAGTCCACTGCTGCCATTTCCACATCCTCCTCATAGACGATCACATCCTCGGTCGGCGAGTACAGTGCTCCAACATATACTCCGCCCACGCGTGCCCTCTTCTCTGGGTTTTCATCTTCTCCACCAGGCCAGGCACGTCTTGCAGAAACCTTGATCTCCATGGGGGACTTGTCGATGACTTGTTCAGTCTCCATCGCCTCCTGAGAGGGCTCCACATTGGCAGGCTTCTCGCTGATGAGGATGGGTTCGTCATTCCGTCCACTTCCGGACGATGGCCCGCCTTGGTTGAGGGTTGGCTCTGTCGGCTCTTCCTCAAAGGTCTTGGTCTTGGCCTTCTTCTCATCAGTCTCAGCTTCCGTAGGAACTGCACTTGGGGCCATCGGCATGATTGCCTCGATCTTCCTCTTGGGACGTCCAATGGTGGTTCCTTGGTCCCAAGGTACCCCAATCATGGCCTCCAACAGGTCCCGGTCATGGGCCTTGGCGCTGTCGGCGAATCTCCTCACAGATCTTGCTGACACGGTGCCGCCAGGCGTTCCCAGGAGATACTCGTTACTAGTCACACTCCTGCCGAGGTAGATTCCTTTCGCCCATGCCGTCTCACCTTTGGTGATCACATTTCTCCCATGCGCCCTTCTGGCCTTACTCATGGGGGTCTTGAAGAGGACTGTCTCCGCGAACGGGATGAGAGGTGACGTGTACTGGCAGTCAAAGGCATCCTGGTATGCCGTGCGCTGGTTCGACTTGACTGCATAGCGGCATCTGATGAATGAGCAGTAGCGCACCAACCAGGGCCATAGGTTGTGGGATGTATGCAATGTGATGCCATACTCCGCTTCGACTGCATACCTCAAAGTCAGGACATCTCCACGAAGCAATTTCTGGAATGCCCCCATCGTTCCAAGGCTCTGTGAACTATACCTTGGAACCTCCTCGAAGATGATCTTCAATCCAGCAGCTCCGGGTGCTTCACCCTTCCTCAAGGCCTCAGCGATCTGCCCCTTCACTTTCTTGATCGCTGGTTCGTTGTCTGATCTCAGCTTCACTGTGTCATACCCCAGCTGGGCGATGAAGGATGTGATGACCTTCACCACGTAGGGGATGCCCAAGTTCTTGGCTGGGATGCTGAAGGCCAGTCCCATGCCAGTGCCAGTGTCAACCACTGACAACACTGTGTCACTGCACTCCTCGAACTTGTCGGCCAGGCTGGTGTCGGTCTTCAAGAAGCTGTAGTCAAGCTCGAAGTGGTTGTCAGTCAGCTTCTGCTCCAAGGTCCTTCGCTTGTGAGCAATCTCCACGCCATGGCCTCGGGTGCAGAATTCACACCAGGGTTGTGGTGGCAGATGTGTCAAAGCATGCTGCCTCATCTCCTCATCACTGGGGATCACCGGCTTTGGAAGCTCTTGAACTTCAGCTCCACGCCCTTCTCGCAAGGCTTGCTGCCTCTCGCTATGCTTCTCCACATAGTCTCTTGCTGAGGCTCTCCGTGCATTCAATGCAGCTTCCGCTTTCTTCAGCCTTGTCCACAGGGTGTGCTTGTCGCCATAGATAGGCTCATCCAACTCTTTGAGTCGGGCTCGAAGATCTGCCACCTTGCTCCACCCATGCAGCTTCTGTCGGTCTGCACGAGCATGGGCTTCATCACGAGCAAATTCCTCAGGCAGTGGGATCATCTAAATCCCTTCTTCATCTTCGTCCACACCAGCGAACTCCCAGTCGTACTGGTCACCTTGACTCACCACCGGTGCCACGGTGGCATCCACCTTCATGTCATACGGCACGGCCTCATCATCCACAATCTTGATGTAGTAGGAGTTCCTGTGGATGTAGAGAGGAATCCTGAATGAGATGTCAGGATGGCTGAGGTATGGCTTGAACTTGTTCCTCATGTCAGCCACAAATCCACTCTTGCTCATCTTGGCAGCTGAGAGCAAGTCCTTGCTGGCTTGCTGGCTCACCTTGAACTCCGTGATGGCATTCAGGAAGTTGCCATTCTCGCCCACAATCTTGTAGCTCACTCGCTTCTTTCCGAGTTTTCCCAAGCTCTTCCCAGAAATCCCTAGCAGCTCAGCTCGGCACTCTTCGGTGTGCTGGTCGCCTCCGAACACAGGTTGGCAGAGGTGTTCATAGGTTCATCACTGCCAGAGTCCCAAAGAAGGTACTTCACGGAGGTGCCGCTAGGCTGGGAGATGTTCAGGTGGTGCCATTCGCTCACCTGCTTGTTGGCCTTGTGGATCATCATCACCCACATCTCATCACTGTACTCATCCTCAATGTCATAGGTGTCGGCCCATGCCTTCCTCTCGTCATTGTCGGGGTCGATCCAGTAGTAGACAGCATTGGTGCTGCTGCCTGGAGCTCCTTGGGGAGATGGTGGTGCAGCTGAGCCACTCGGTGCTGCCTGTACTGCATTCGTGCTGTTCTTGCCTTTGCCCTTGTCACCATCACGTCGTGCTCGATCTCGGACCAAAGTGCGGCAGTCTGCCTTCTTGTGGCCCCATTTTCCACAATATGAGCACTCGCCGTTGAACTTCTTCGTGATGGGTGCTTTGCCTTTTCCCTGCTTGTCGTATTTTCCACCTTTGTTGACTCCTTTGTCTCCTTTGCTTGACTTGCCCTTCTTGCCCTTCTCTGCATGGGACACTGCTCCCACATCCATAGGTGCCAAGCCACCATCGTCCTTGGCCAGTGCGCCACCAGACTTGTAGATGTTGCCGGTCTGCAGGTAGTCCCGGATGAACTTCTTTGCTCTCTCATAGTTCGTGCCAATCTGCGTCCCAGCAGCTCTCATGGCATCTTTCACCGGGCTCGGAACATGCTTCATCAACACAGCAACTCGCATGGACTCAGAGACCGTCTCCTTGGACTGCATCTCATAGCGCCTCACCAGCACTTCCCATGACTCAATCGTCTCAAGGATCTCGGACTCCTTGATGTTCTTCCAGTCGGGCGCAATGATGGCCGTGAGCATTGCCATGTGGCGTCCACCCACTGGTGGTTCATAGGCATCACACAATGCCTTCCAGGCTTGGAACCCATTCTGGCCCTCCACGTTCATCAGGATCTGGAGAGCTCTGCCGTCGACGCTCTGGGTGAGCAGGTTGAAGAGCACAGTCGACAATTCCTGAGCTGTGTCACTCATATCGATCATGGACAGCTCATTCTGCGAGGCGGCATTCTCAGCAGCTTCCAGCATGCCTCGGTAAGCACGGTCAAGTAGGTGCACGTAGCCCCGTGCAACAAACACCCAAGCCGGCCAATCTTCATCCTTTCCACTGAATGCTCGAAGCTTCCCGATGGCTTTCGTGTCGATGAGCCGCGGACCAGGAACTGGTTGAGGTAGTAGCGGATGTGGTTGGGATGTAGGCGACTCAAAGCCATCAGCCGCAGCAGCCGCCATGTCGAAGGCATGAGGCGGCGTCACAGGCGCTGCCATGTGCGCTGCTTGCCACCCGGCACAGGGATTTACGCCGTGCCCACACCACGAGATTTCACGTGGATTTACAGGGTGCCCACCTCACCGCCGCCACGAGGGCCTTACGTCGGTTTTACAGGGGGTCAGGAGCGGGAGCCCAACCAGGGCTCCGCTACCATGCAAGTGATGGCGCCCCTTTTCCAAGACCTCAAAAGGGCTGCAGAAGTACGTGTACACAAAGTATGTAAATGCCTGCAGACTCCTATTAATTTACTGTTGCTGGAGAGAAGAAACAGCCACCGATGTTCGACCTCGGCCGAAGAAGAAAAAGAAGAAGAAGAAGAGCACGCTACTTCCGGTACCTGAAATGAGTATATTATACAGTATATATGTTGTTTGTTGTCCTCGCGTGAGAAAAGCTTCATTGCTTAAAGAAGGAGAACGGTTGTTCCAGCACCTGAACTTCACAGGTCACCAGGTCGCTTGCGACCACTCTTCAGGTCGTTCCCAACCTGGGAACGAAAAAACGAGTAAAACTGCTGTGGAGTCGGAGTCCTGTGGGAAACATGACCTACATGACTGGCATTCTACATGAAGACTTGGTCCAGGAGAGCCAACTTCTTGCCCCTTCTTAGCCCCTCAACGAAAAGGTAGAAAATGTCAGCTGAGTGGTCTGTCTACACTTTGGATTTGGAGTGGAACCCTAGAACCTGAGTACATCTGAATGACTGTCTGTCCAGAAACCTCCTTGCCATAACCTGCCCCTTCCAGAAATGACTCATTTGGATGCCATGACTTCGGCACTGGGAAGAAGCCAGGCTCAAGCAGGCTTCTCCCCCCAAGCCGAGTGGCTCGGTAGGAGGCGGAGCCCAAGTCATGTAGGGACTCAGTCGCTGCCGACGGCGCCGCTCCACCGGGTCGGTTGTGGTCGACGTAGGGACGCGAAGATGAAGCAGCACTAACACCCTGGAGGTACCACTGGGCCCGACGTTTTGGCGCCTACATCAACAGTCTCCGTCCTGTACCTGAGGTTCGGTACGACTGGATCCGGCCTCCCTGCCAGGTCACCACCAGGTCCACTTTTAAGTCTCCATTTCAGCTACCATTTCGGAGACCTGTTGATCGTCGGGTGCTGGAACCGGCCAATGATGTTGGGCACCGATGTTGTTTGAGATTCCCAACACCTTTGATGAATGATCTACCAGGACCCTCTAAGGGGTGCCCTGTCTGGAAGCCTATAGGTAGTATGGGGTAGTCCATTGGACACCCCGACAGGAGGGTCCTGGTATAAAATGGTTTGTGTACTGGTTTGTGTGCATGTCATGATGGGCAAGCACAATGACCTCTTTGAGATGAACAGTCACTGTGTTCATGGGAATCATGTCCTTCACACACACCACCCGCGCCCGACTCAGCTGTTACTACAGATCGGTTCCAACATGACACTCACCATGCCTTCCAAACCTGCACGGCCAAAATCCCAAGGAACGCCTCTCAGTCTTGGAAAATGAACTGTGTTTTATTGCCCGAGCCGAGAAAAATCCAGATTCTTTCAAGACTCTCTACTTCTTCAAACAGGTAAAACATAGTAAAACACACCTTAACATCCGCGCGTTCGTGGGCCCACCCTGAACCGCCTCAATCAGCACTCGCCAGGTACCAGCCATGGCGAAACACACCGCGGAGCAGCGAGTCTAGCCTCGCCCCGGACCGGGCAGTCCGTAGGTCAGCAATCGGGAAGGGCTGATGTAATGACCGTTTCTTCAATACTTGAGTTGCCAAGGTTGAAAAAAACATTGAAATACCCCGGTGTATTGCAATAGACCATGGCAAACGATACTAGACACACCTTTGTATCAAAATGGCAAAAGCAGCTCCCACAACTCCTTGAGTTTTTAGCATGCTTTAACCATGGTTTGCGAGTTTTTGAAGCCACTCTAGCCAAAGCTCCTGTGCACGGAAAGCACTCCGTTGAGTTTCTCCAACCAAAACTCGGTTCCGCCCACCGTCGAGCCGGAAGCGGAGCATGCAGAGCCACGGAAGGTGCAAACATAATATATGTTCAATCTGAGACACACAGAAAACATGACATCATGGAATATGTACCAATGGGAAATGGATGGAAATGGCTGTTTGGGAGGAAACATTGATTAGTCTCTGGTTCTTTGGTTTATGACGAAGGTGAGACAAGTTCGAAGCAACCAAAAAGACCCTCTTTTGAGGAACGTCACCGTTTTGGGCACCCAGCACCTAAGGGCTTTGGCCTTCATCCACCCTTCACTGGCTCCAAAATCACATGGGGGCTCCACCCTTCACCGTTCCTTCCACGGGGTCCGCGCCGACGGGGGTCCGCCGCGCCCTTTCTGCACGCAGCCGGACGTCGCAGACCGCCTGCGCCCGGCCCAGCCGCGCGGCCCGGCCGGGCTCTATAGGCCACGGTCAGTGAAGAGTCGATAGCTATTCCTCTGGATCCCCGAGTCATCGGTCATCAAACCAGGGATGCAACGAGTGCCTTGGAAGGGCCGGCGGCGGCCGCCAGGGCGGCCGCCAGCGGAGGTCTTCAAAGGTTCCAATATCATCCAACCAGGTAGACCGCTGCAGCAGCACCCGGGACCTGCCAGGTCACCACCAACTTTTAAGTCGCCCAAAAGCTACCATTTTGGAGACCTGTTGATCGTCGGGTGCTGGTATACCTCTTGATGAATATAACGTCCCCCACTTGGAGTGTAAAACCATGGTAGAACCTCTTCGACCAGCACCCTCCAACAGGTGCTTCCTGGTGACAAGTCCGGTGCCCAGAAACCACCTGTTAGGGTCTCCAAACAACCTGTTGGAAGGTGCTGGGATAGATCTTCTCCAGACCGCACCTGTTGAAGTTGGAGAGCCAAGAAGCTGGAGATTCTAAGAACGAAAGCAACTCACGGCCGCTTCGGTGTGGCCTTCGGACTTCGGCGTTCAGAAAGGCCACACCGAAGTGGCCACACCGAACTTCGGTCTTCGGTGTGGCCTGTGGAGAAAGATGGTGCGATCCCCACAGGTGAAGAGATAGACCCCGCATCCCCGCTGGCATCCTTGGAGCGTTTCCTCCTAGAGATTCTCTAACTAAATAGACCCTATAACACCTGCAGTTTCAAAGGGGTGCCTATTGGAGGATAGGGGTTCCCATTATCCACTCGCCTTGGGGACAAAAAACAAACCCTTTGTGACTCCTGGTGTATATATAACTTATAACTTCCCAAAGCCACTTTCAACGATCTGTTCCCAAAATGATTGTTCTCAATCACCCCTAAGTCTATAACTCCCCCTTCTGGTCCTTCTCCATTTTCTTACACACTGAGTGCCGTCTGTCAGGACACCCCACCCGAAAGAAAAGGCGGCCATGTCCGTGCGAATCCCTCCCACGGGAACCTCACCCCGCCCCCAAACAGCCCCAGAAGCCACATTTTCGCTCGTCTTCCTCATCCTGGAGGCTGGACTCTGGACATTTGTACGCCAGGACCCGACGAATCATGCTCTTTACGGTCTTGATGTCGTCGACTCAGGATGGTTTTCGTTGGCGTCCGTTCAGCATCCACGTCACTTGTCTGACACAGTCAAAGCCAATGTAAAACCTGGTCTTATATGACTTATATGACAGCAAAGTATTGCTATGACCTGGTCTTGTGTGACTCATAAGGCCCAGTAATACTCATATGCCTGCCTGTAGGCCCGGTTGGGCCGATGGTTGCTCAGAATCTGCAGCTCTTGGCCGCCCAAAGGCTACGACACTTCGCTGAAATGCACCTCGTCCAATCATGTAAAGGAAATCAGTGTATAACGCATCCAACAACCCACCTACTACCTCCTCCTTCCTAGTTTGGGTAAGTATTTCCACCTCCGGAACCAACGCCCGGAATCACCTCAAAATTGTCCGGCACATATATATATACCCCTCACTCTGGGTACCTTGCTTTTCCCAGGTTCTTGAAACATA